CGTAATAGGGAAATCCGCGGGGGATTTAAATATCCCCCGCGGCATTTAAATAAAAATGTCTGCCGCTTTTTTCCAGCTTTTAGAAAAGCCAGAAAAGAGCGTCTACACTGGCCCCGATCCTCCGGAAAAAGCGCCCTTTTCCGAAGGATCTTATTCCCACTTTGAAGTAGGAATAAGATCCTCCGGAAAAAGGCGCTTTTTCCGGAGGATCGGGGCCAGTGTAGACGCTCTTTTCCGGCTTTTCTAAAAGCCGGAAAAAAGCGGCGGACATTTTTATTTAAATGCCGCGGGGGATATTTAAATCCCCCGTGGATTTCCCTATTACGATCTCAAATTACCATGCCCCTTTCGGAAAAGGGGCCAATGTAGACGAGCCCATAGTGTTTAACTACCATACAACACTAATCCTCTCCCTCCATTTGAGCCACTGTACTATTTTCTTTTCCAGCAGAAGTTCTCTTGCTTCCAGTATGATGGAGCCAACATGGGGATGGAGCTTTGTAGATGACAAGATCTTTTCATTACTCTCTCTAGGTTGAAAGCACCTCATGCTTTTATCTTTACACTAAATTTGATACATTAGTCATATGGAAGAATCTCCCCCTCTTCCCAACTATGTAGTTCTCTGAAATGTACCATACCATATTGCTTATACTCAGGGGCGGCCCGTCCATATAGGCAAACTAGGCGGTCCCCTAGGGCACCAAGTTAAATGGGGCGCCAAATGGTGGCGCAATATCATTGAGAGGTTTGGAGGTGGGGGCACCGATTGCATGGTTCGCCTAAGGCACCAGTTGCTGGCAGCTAGTCTAGGGCCGCACCTGCTTATACTGCTATCTTGTATTGTAGAGCCTTAATGTAACATCTGGATAGCTTCTGCTTTGCATAAAATCACACCTAGAAGAAGTTGAAAGAATTCCCTCAGCCAAGGCTAGAGAAGTTTCACTTAGTATCTTAAACCAAAATGAGTTCTGTTTGATAAGTGACAACTTTCCATTTTATCTGATGACTTATTGATCTTTTAAACAAGAAATGAGCGCACATTCAACTCCTGAATATTTAGTGTGTGGAGGAAAATAACTACACATTGGAATTTGTTAGGCTTATTAGAGATTGCTAGAATTGAGTTTTATGGTCCTAAATGAACATATGTTTTGAATGTAGCAGCCTACAGGCATTTGACAGTGAGCTGTGCAAACATATTTGTACAATTTCACTGAGACCAACATTTGCAAAGTGTAATATTTTCTGAAACTACACTCCCCCCTTTTTGGTACAAGGGAAGATTACAGTAGATAGCCATTCAGCTGTTCATTCTAATTTAAGTTTATCATGAGGCTCCTCTTCCAAATTTACCACCAGTTCATTTGTACTCTGTCACTGAATGCATATATAAAGGCTAATTCCTACCCAACAAATTGTGAACGTGTCAGGCTT